CACCCTGCAGCGGCGGGCACCTACCGCCGCTACCTACACCCGGTACCTACACCCAGAACCTACACCCGGTACCTGCAGCCAGTACCTTCACCTGGTACCTACAGCCTGCAGCGTGCAGGCACCTACACCCAGTATCATCACCTGGTACTTACAGCCGCTACCTACACCCTGAAGCGCGATGGGCACCTATAGCCAGTGCCATCATCCAGTACCTACACCCGGTACCCACCCCCTCCAACACGCTGTGTATCTACAGTCAGTACCTTCACCTGGTACCTACACCTGCAGCACATCAGGCACCTACAGCCCCCACCTTCATCTGGTATTTACACCCAGCATCTACACCTGCCACCTTCACCTGCCACCTACACCTTGCTGTGTGCATCCGACACCTACACTTGCCAACATTACCCGACACCTTCGCCTGACACCTACACCCACCCCCTACACCCTGCACCTACCGGATGCACACACCAGCATGCATCCAGCACCTACACCCAGGACCTATACCCAGCCATCTCCACCCTGTAGCACACACTCTACACCCTGCATCCGCCAGAACAGGCAGGCAGGGCACACACTGCAACCCATGGCATGCACCGGTGACATGCACACTGCAATGCCATCGTGCCATCGTGTTGCACGTGCTGCAATGTCACCACGCTGTGCACTGCAATGTCATTGTATGTACAATGTCACCACGCTGTGCACTGCAATGCCATCGTGTTGTGTGCACTACAATGCCATCACGCTGCATGCACCGTGGTGCATCCGTGCAGCCAGCGGTGCTGTGTGCTCCTGTGCACTCTGCGAGGAATGCACCCCGTGCAATGCTGTTGTGCAGGGGGACAGCACGCCACACACACCCGTGTGACACCCCGCTGCAGCCCAAATGTGCATGCACGACACCATGCCCACCTTGCCGCATGCGCCTGTGCACAGCCAAAGCACAGGCTAGGACACAACCCTCCGTGTCACACCTTTCCATGCGCACACCTTTCCATGAACACACACGGTAGCACACACACAATAACACACTCCAGTCACAGCTCAAGGGCGGCACACAGCGACACCCCAACCGGGTCGGGTGAATGGTCCCACGGGACAGCCTGCTGGAATCTCCTGGGACAGGAGCATGCGTGGGGCTGCACGGGGAAAACAGGGCAGCCGGCACTGACAGATACGGAGCAGCTCTGGAGCAGATGGACGTGTTTGCTCCCAAAAACCTTTTATCCGGGCTCGGCGGGAACGCCTCGCAGAGATGCTATTTTGGTTCAAAGGCCTCTTTTATCACCGCGTGCAGCGGATCAAAGTCCCGGGGAAGGGGGAACACGGCGGCATGAAGCGGGATGCAGGCAGGCCCGAAGAGCCGCCGTCGGCCGGCTGTTCCCAAAGCGCCGCCTGTTGTGGGCCGGGGAAGCGTGCCCGTGCGGCACGCCGCTTTCCCCGGAGCGCTGTCGCTCCCGCTGCATTTGCAGCCCCCCCGGCAGGCCAGGCGGCCGCGGCGGCCGCAGCGGCAGCCGGGAGGCTGGGAGAGGGAGCAGCTCTTCCGCAGCGCCGCGGCGCTTCCTAAATAGGTCACCGCATTTTTGTGTGTGTGTGTTTTGTTTTCACAAGGCTCTGGGATCTAGAAAAACCAGTCGTTCCGGGCAGCTCGCCTGT